AGTATGGAATGTAAAGTATAGATTACACGGATTACTGTTTACCAACATTGAATTGCTAATTCAGAATATTTATCTTACATTAAACACATTTTAAAATAGTAAACAACAAAAACAAATATTAAATGAGAGTTTAAAATCGTAATTTACTATGATAAAATTGCAATTATTTACAAAAAAATATAATAAATAAGAGATTTACAGTAATTAATACAGGGTGGATCAATTGAACTGCAACCAACTTAAAACTGCTATAACTTTTGATTTGCTGATAATGATGTGTCTATATTTTGCCTAATGATAGCTGATTTTATTGTTTACAAGCCTATTCCATGATGGAATGATAGCTCTATATTTGAGCCGAAAACCAAAAGCTATTGTTAGAGCACTCGAACACCTTAATGTGAATAAATCTTTCATGTCTCCTACCGTCGACCAACTCAGGGCCATAGTTCGCACTCAAGGCGACCATATCAAAAATTTGAAATGAATTCAAAAAATTTAATTGTTTTCCGAAATTTTTTGCTTGTGGTTCAATAAAATCCAATTTCAAATAAAGAAATTACAGCGTTCTGAAAAGTTAATTGACCGTAAGTCTTTCTACATGAAATGAGATGTAGACAACTTAATTAGAAATAAAAGGGAACATAACTCACGCACAGTCATTCTCTTTGTAAGTCATCCATCAAGTCTGCACGAATCTAATATTAATATTATATACTTAATTGCGTTATATTTATAACAACATTTATATAATTACATAATAAAAACCACCTTTTATAATTACGAAATGGTGGATGCAACGGGTAAATGTATTTATAAATTATAAAATATATTTACATTATTGATCCACTTTCTTATTTTGTTTCAACATAAATGAAACACCTGCGTTTTAGTTGCAGCTGCAAAGATAAGAGACACCTGCGTTTTAATTGAACATCTGCATGATACGAAAGCAATAACAATTAATCGAAAACGTCCGATCTACGACGACACGACAAAACAGCTGCACCTGCGATTCGTAAACGTTATAACAATCCTCTCAAATTTGGAAACCGCTGACTTTTATGTATTTTCTAAATAAAAAATATGACAAATATGAAAAGGAACGCAACATTATTGAAAAATTGGTATTCCCAACGTTATACAACAATTTAATTGAATTGCATTCGTGTTCATTATGTTTCCGGCCGCATGTTGTTGTTGTTTTTTATGTCGATTCTCTTTTTATTTGTTTCTTTTGTTTTTATTCGATTGTCAACTGTTACAATAGTATTGTAATAACAATAATAATACAAGCGAGAAAAGTAATGCTACACTACTAAAAAAAAATGAGATTGCATCGAGTTATGCAATGTTATGGACGATAATCCAATCGGTGCGTGCATGTGGAAGGCTCTCCTGTTGTTCATTGTGTTCTCGCTATGGAAGTTTCGCTTTGGGAATAGTGTTGGTGGTGAGGTAGAGCAGTGGAATCATCTCCATCCGTACCGCCTCAGCCTCAGCCGCCGCCGCCGCCTCCGCCGCATACACAGCGAAATTCTATTTGAATAGGCTTATTTGTGAATCCGTAAACTTTACCCCCGGATTTTCCGGGGCCAACTCCGACCCACCTACATCTAGCCCAGGTTTCCCGCCACCACCTCCCTCACCCTCACCCGCCCAAAATCTCAGCTAGTTTAATTAATTGAACTTTGCGTAAAGTGAGGCACAAAACCATGCTTCTAATTAATTTCCCAATAGAACAAAAGAAAAAAAGTCAAACGATTTTATATTGTTATCTAAACTTCATTATTAATTACACGTTTACTATATAATCTTTCTTTCAATCATT